AATCCAATGGCAAGTACAGCCATCTACTTGCCAGAGAATTTGGGGTTTTAAAAAATTTAAAATTTTTTTTTTTTTTTTTTTTTTTTTTTTTTTTTTTTTTTTTTTTTTTTTTTTTCGTAAACAATTGATAATGTTTTATCGCGAAAATATTATTTGAAGTTCTAAGAGTATTTCAGTCGCGTTGCCTCGATGTCTTATTAACGAGCATTTTTCTTCCGGGAACTTCGCGAAGTTTACGTCTCGTCGAAGAAAAACTTTTGCAGTTTTTTCTCGGTTTACCGCGATATTTTCACCGGGAATTTTTTACTTTTACTTATTTCAGCACGTTCTGTTGGTCAATAAAAAAGTACGGTGACCTGATAAGACCAAAGGGAAAACAACATTGGTCACGGCGGCTTCGTGACCGCTGATTATTCGTTTAGTTCGTTTCATCTTTGCCCGTTCTTTATGAGACATCTCTTGAGACCAGATACCCCTCAAAGGGCTTTGTTTTTACTACGTGCATTTTAGTAATCTAGAAGTCCTTTTATACCTTGCGGTAAAGCCTGCTGGCCTTAACCATAACAGCCGCTGATAAGATTTATGGATTTTGTTAAAACGTAGCTTGTCAAAGCCAATTGGTGGCTCTAAGAAGGAAACCTTTTTGTTTCAATTGCCTCGTTGGAGTACAATTACCGATAACAACATCCTGTTTATATTATATAGGAAGTAGTAATTAATAATGGAAAATATCGATAACGATTGAACGATCGATTGACTTTTGGAAAATTAATTAAATAGATCAGGGATATCGATGAAGATGATATTTTTAACTAATACAATTCGTGATATTCAATAACACTAGCGTAATTGTATTTTTTATTACGTAAATCTGGATTTTTCGACGAGGATCGATCATACGACATTATAAGAGAAATTTCGGTTCCTATCTAGAATTCTGGCATTAATTGTTTCATTTTATAATTGGAATTTTTGATCCAGTCTTCTAATTCTAGAGAATTCGTGACATCGTACTGTATTTGTTTGGAATTTCAAAACCGTTGTTACGACTGGAATTTTCTCATCGAGATTCTCACCTGAATTCTATTAGGTTACAAAGTGTTCATTGAATATCCTTTTATTCCATCGAACAAGGAATCGATTGGAATATTTAAATATATTCTAACGTTATAATTACCAACTTGATACTAAATGATACATCAATAATAATAAAACAGTGCAATAAAAATAAACGAGTATACGTAATTATCTTCCTATCCGAATGAAAATTAATATCCCAAAGCATGTTAGTTTAACTCCCTTAATAGTACCTGTGCATATTAACCCTTTGCACTCGAGAGGTGAGCCTAAGTCACCGTTTAATCAAATTCCGAAGATCTATGTTAATTAACATATCAAATCTAAAATAGCCTAAGATTGCATGGAACGTCGAAATAAAATAATTTTAAGTCTTAATTTATACCCGATTCCTTATTTACCGTTTCAAAAATATCCTCGACGTTACAGCAGAAAGTCTTCGAATTGCTATTTCTCTGTCACGAAAATAATCACCGAGTGCAAAGGGTTAAAAGATATAAATTTAATCACAAAAATTCGATCAATCGAACTTTTCAATTATCCTCTATTTTGTTACATTTTCTAATAGAATAATTACGCGATTGGAAAATGTTACATGATTTATCCCAAGATCCCAGAGATTAATTCCCCAACAAAGAACGAAGCGTCGCAAAATTGTCCCTTGATTTTAATTCTTTCTCTCGTTTCTACGAATAAAAGTATCGTGAGCCTTTGACACATAATCTCGCCACTGTCACCTGCGAGATTAAAAACGGGAATTAAATAGCACCTCTATCGCGAGAAGCCACTCTTCTGAGCAAAAAGGAGCCGCCATCACCCTCTTTCACTTCTCGCCCCTCTGCAAGCGTCGTTTGCATTTCTTCCCCAAACCGACACGATATTAAAATCGGACAAAACGCTCGTGTGCCTTTGTTTCTGAATTTCCACTTCCCCGTGCCGTGTTTTATTTCCTTCTTTTTCTTTTTTCTCTTTTTATTTCGCCGGCCATGCATGGCGCTCTTAAAGTCCCACTCTTCGCGAAATTCCCTTTATCGCAATGCTCGCGAATTTATGGCTCTTGATAAACACGACCGTGTCTTATTTTCCCGCGTAACTTCAACATCGAGCAACAAAAATTATCGTTCGAATTATTGCACACAAAAGTTATCGCGAAATTACTATACCCTCGCGTGCGAGTACCAGCTGCTCTTGGCGAAAATTTATGCACACCAAGGAAGACAGAAGTTTAATGTTCAATGTCCCTTGTTTCGGTGTAATTATAACAGACGAATAAGAAAACTGTGCACATTCATCATCGGTCTTCCTCTCTTCCTTTTATCCTTATTACTTTTCATTTTTTGATAAATGTAAGCGGCCACGTATTTTGGGATTATTGTGTACATATGCGTGTGAAATAGCGGTGAGAGGATTGATAAATATTTATAAATAAAATATGAATTTAAGCGTCGAATATTGATTACTTGTAATGTCAGTATTTAAATATTGCGTGCGTAATAAATTGATTTTGATGTGATTTCTCTGATCCCTTGAGAGAATGTGTTTTGTCGTTTCAATTATGTATGACGCGAAAGAGAGAATTATTTTGAACAAATTTCTGGCTGATATTTCTAAGAGTATACCTGTATTTCTTTGTAAATTAATTAATAAAGTTCAATAAAGTTTTTGATGAAAATGACTATCCTGGAAATACTTTTTACACTGTACCGTTTCCTATCAAATACCTCAATCTCAACCAAAGGTAATTTCTTCCCAAATAATACAAAAATAAAAAGAAAAAATAAGCGAAGGAAATACGATAGGAATAGTTATCGAGGTAAGTATTTTACTAGTTTAAATGCCACCAGTCAAGCAGGTCGTTCAAATTACAGCCCGCAATTTGTCGTTTGCAGTTACCCACAATGCCGCGTTCATTCTCGAAATACCCGTCGCAATACCAATTTCGTGTATTATAGCGCGTCATATTTGCAACTGTTGCATCAATTTCATTGCAATTTGTATATATCAGACATGTCTGTACCGATCTCTGATCGATATTATCGGAAAACCATGCTGCTATACTAAAGTATCGATTCACCAATTCCATTATAAAAAATGTACTCGAGAAGTGGGAAAATATGTGTACAAAAGAGATACAAGAACGATAACGACGTAGAGGAATATCACTAAATATAAATCAGAAATATTTCGTATATCTTATTTGCATTTTTCTATTTATTTTCTATTTATTTTTGATCTATAATAGACGAACTTATCTCCGAGATTTAATTTGGACTGTTAGTCTTAAGAAGATTTTTGTACAATTATGCGGTACTTTGGAAGAGAGCGTAGCAGTTGTATAATGCTTGACAGCAAGAGTCAAAGGGTAAAGGGCATACGAGATCACTCCCAGAGACGTAGCTATGGGACATTCAGCAAGAGCAGAAATGTTTCAGAAGAATTATAATTTGATACAATTTTAATTAATTTTTAAGTATAAATGTAAGATATAATTTCCTGCGAGAAAATTTTCCGAATTTACGAACATTTTGTTACTTATGGCTACCTTCCTCTTTCTTGCCATACTCGTTGCATTTCGAACTTATCGTTCACTTATTCAACACATCTCGCTTTGTAGCTCAGCTGACTCAATTGAATATTTAGATTGGAATTCCAAGAAAGGACGAAAGAGGCGAAAAATGTTTTCACTTGGTGGTATGCAGTTTACAGAATAAACCGCGAAGAAGCATCGATACCGCTGTACCAAATCAAATTAAGATCAATATTATCGAAGTA